CATCTTTTTAAGTGGGAGAACTTGCACAATTGGTGGCTGACTAAATACTTTTTTGCCCCACTGTATCTCCTCTTGCTCTTGGCACAAACGCTGAATGGAACGTCACTGTGAGACTGAACACACCCTCTTCTCCTTCCAGCGACTGCCAAAAAAAGAAAGAAAGGAAAAAAAGAACCTCCTGGCCAAGTTCTGGGGGGATGGATCTCTGAAATTGCTCCTGCTATGGCAGGCTCCCTCTCAGGAAGCCAAGAAGTGTCCCAGAAACTTTGGGGGCTGGTCATGCCCATGGAACCAGAAAACACGGAGTTAGTAATCTGTGTCCTTGGTGTGGTGACATCACTCTGTGTGAGTTGCCATTTTGAGGTCGTCATGGATGCCTCTCTTCCATAATCACCGGCAGGGCTAAAACTGAACGGTGAAAAAAGTTTAGTCAATTGGATCCACTAAATTAGCGTCTCTCAACCGTAGCAACTTTGATGTGTGGACTTCAACTCCCAGAATTCCCCAGCCAGCCATGCTTCCTGGGGAATTCTGGGAGTTGACGTCCACACATCTTCAAGTTGCTAAGACTGAGAAATATTGCACTAAGGGACCAGATGTGGAGATATTTGATGCCAGATTGGATGCACCAAAGGTGAATATATGTGAAATAATATTCTAGGATGTTGAAATTGGCTAGTTGGCTTTCTGTTTTTATGAGATGGTGGGAGAAGCAGTTTCTTAGGTCTGTCTTTTTAACCTTCCCAGTTGCACGGGCTTCACATTTCTGTTACTGGATTCTGAAACTCTACAATACTTAAGCGCCCCATGGTTCAGCTGTATCCCTGGTTATTCCCTGGGAGAACCATGGGAGCGATCTTGGAGAAACCACCTCCCTATAGTTAATTGCGTGCAGCTTGTGTGTTGCTGTGTTTCTTTCCATATTCTTCAACACCCTGTTCTGGGATGGGCAAAAGAAGAGCCAGTTAATATAGTGCCTGGGAACAACTTAAGGAGATTAGGAATAGCTAATAGGAATATAGCCGTCCCTGAAGGATGCATTCTGGCTGTAAGCGGAAGGTAATTAGTTCCAAACTATTTGCCCTACTTGCCCCAAAGCCATACATTAACATTTTCTGTGTAAGTATAAGTGGCACGAAGTATCTAAAGTGTTCTTTCCACAAGTTTTAAAACTTGCTTAACTAGTTTTCTGTGAATGTTCTTTTCAGGCGCTAGCTGAGCTCTGTGAACAAGGATATTCAGATACTCTTAGATTTTTGAAAGAAAATGGTAGGTCACTGTTTTCAAACATATTTGCATAATGTGGCGGAAAGGGGTGGGCAAAATGGATTATGCTCAGACTGCTTTTCGGTGGTGTGGGCATGAACTGAAACATGTGTTTCTGATGTTTTCTTCCGGGTATGGGTCAAAAGCATTTTGTTTCTTCTGCTGTGACTGGGAATTGTCTTGTCTCTTGCAGTTTGGGGTGTTATCTTTAGATTCTCATGTCTGGAGAGTCCTGTCCCTCCTGCTGTTGGCTTAGGTTGGAGGGGGGGTGATCTGTGGGGAGGCGACTTAAGGAGGAGGAAACTGCTGTGAGACTGGAGACGGCATTATTTATTGGACCTTTTGGGCTGTTTTTAGCACCCCAGCAAGTGGCAAGAAATAGACATAGTCCCCGTGTCCATCTCTCACCTGCCCTATTCTTAATCTCTGTGGTTAAGAGATTGAAATTCTGTCTGTCTGTCTGTCTTGGGCTTCCCTCTCTTCAAGGTGTAGTTTAGGTAGAAGTGAGCTTTCCTATCTTACATATTTCTTAATAAATCTGATTTTTACTTCAGATGTAATGAATGTTTGTTGGCTAAGCCCATACTGGGCCTGGTCCTAGGAGTCGACAAAGACTTGATAGCACACAATCGTTAAAAGAAATCTTTTTGGCATTCTGCTTACGTTCAGGAGTGCATCCTCTGACAAGGGTTCCTGCTGAATTTAAATCTCCAAGAAAGAGGATATTGGACTCCAGGCTGGAGTGATGCTTCTGCTGGAGGGCTGAGGTGGGGCCAGGAGGCGACTGCCTGGTTGCCCACAGCCCCGATCCCATTTCCTTTTAGCTCATTTATTTATTTATTTTTAATGTTCCAGTTCGGTTCAGGGTGGGGGTGACCTTTTAGATTACCTCCCTTTTAACATTTTTCCCCTCCAGGAAAAAAAACCCTCTTTTCCTCAGTAAGGCCCGCCTGCTTCTTTGGGGAATCAATTCTTCTAATCAGGGCTGGGCGTGTAGCGCGTTGAGCAGTGCCCTTCTGGTTGAGTTTTAAAAGGGGGCTGACTTTGGAGGCTTCCCTCTGGCCCCTGAATCCCCTGTTGTAGGAGCAGCTGTGTCCGTTCTCCAGCTGTGTGCCCCCCCACACCCCAGGGCAGTTAGAAGGCTGGCCAAGGGGGGCAGAGGAGGGTCGCCATCAGGAAGCCGGACTCAAGTACTGTGCCCGCTGCTCCCGAGGCAGAAATGGTGCCGCCAGCTGGTGGGGGCAAAGCCAAGCTGGGAAGGGGAGGAGCTCTTCCCTGGCACCAGCGGAGGAGTGGTGCTGCTGACCCTTCTGGCAGCCGTTTGGAGGGGCACGCTGCAGGTCCCAGGGCATGTCGGCTTTGGGCTTGGAGGCCCGTCCTGCACATCTGAAGCGCTGAAGGCGCAGGTCAGTGGAGAGGAGGACCCCGGGGGTCTTCGGCCTTGGGGAGGGCCTCTCCTCCTCTCCCCGGCCATCTTGTGGGCAGAGCAAGAGGCGCGGGCACTGGTTGCAGCAGCCATCAGGCGGCCCAGGAGGAGCTGCGCTCCAGGGACAGGAGGGGCTCGTTCCAAAAGCCCCCTAACCAGTGAGAGCTCTTAATGCAGGCTTAGTTACAATCAAGCTGGCGAGGGTTCTTCTGAACATATTTCTGGCATTGACTGTTTACTGTTGGAACTAGCTTTGTGATTTTCTTCCCGAGATACTTTCATCGTGTGAATATTGGGACTTTAAGCACCCCAGATCTTACCCAGAGAAATATAGGAACATCTGTAAATAAATTTACCTCAGTATAAACCAGTGTGCTTCTGCAGTATTGTTTATATTAAGTTTAACAAGCAGCATCAACGCTAATGGCTTGGTCCAGGGTAAAATCCAAGCATTGACGTGACCAGCTTGAACTGCATTGGGTGATTTTGCACAATCCGGTTTTACTCACTCATGCAGAGATGAGTCTTCCTTGGATTCTGGTTCAGAACGCAGTGCCAAGCATAATTTGCCCAGTTGGACACTTCATTAAACTCTTTTGGTTAAGTCAAGAAAGGAAGGAGGGAACTGAAATTCTTAAGGTGAAGAACAGAGTTTGTGAACTCAGCCTGATCATGATAAGCAAATGATGGGGTAGCTGTTTCATCTCCATGTTTGGGCTGGGGCACAAGGATGCCTTTCCTGGGATGCTATAAGGAGTTAACAGAGGAGGGAACAACTCCAGGCACGCTATAAAAATAAATGTAAAGGTTTGCTCATTCACTGCTGTTTGCTAGCAGGAATGTCTCGGTTTTAAAAATTGGAAGACGATGGTGCAGGTTACACACCCAACTGCAAATAGACATGACATTTTTAATCCAAGATTTGAAAGTTAAGACTAGGATATCTGTTTTTTTTTTTTTAATAACTGCATTTTACCCGGCTTGCTTTGCATAGTGTCACTCATAGCAGAAGCTTTTGTTTTTTAACCTGTTTGTTAAGGTTTGCTGCAGGAATCCGTTTCCACTGACTTAGCCTTAACAAAGCAGGATCATCAGGGATGTGCACAGATCTCAGGCTACGCTGATAAAAAAAATGCAGCAAATGAAGACAAAAAAGAGATGCGAGAAGAAGAAATATTTATTGATCAGCTAAAATTAACTTCTTGGCCATTGGATAGGACTATCTTTGAGAAGCTGCCTCCTAGACTACAAAAAGGTAAAATTCTGAATTAACTGTCTGTTTTAATTGCAAAAATTTATGTTTAGTACTTTCCAGCACCAGTAAGCAGAGGCCGGACAGAGTTTGGTGCTTGTTTGATTTCTTTTTGCAACTTGTATTGAGGCATTTTAATTACTATCTAAACAAGACCAGAGAGATTTGGCAATTACTTTTAGCTGGTCAAACGATAAGCATGCCAGTCAGGAAACTACTTTGAAGGCTGTATGAATTAATTTACCTGAAACGTTTTGTCTCAGAATTTAGGTATGCTCATCTTTGGCTTTGGGTGAATGCAGTTCATGTTGCACTGATGACATTTGGTTGCTCATTGTCCCTGAAAAGGGGTGCATAACCAAACAAATAAACTAGGAATAAACTAGGTTAACCACCCCCCTAATGTTGTTTGTCATATGTTTGTCATCTAGATTTTATGGAAAGACAAGTTGATTTTGGCTTGAAATGTTGGATGACTTAGCTGTGCTATGAGCAAGCAATCATAGAAGGCAATGTTTATCAAGCTTCTGATAGTCAAAATAGGCTTCCTTTTCCGAATTAAAACTGGAGGTCTGTTTTTGTACCTCAAAGAGTTTTGTTTTTTATTTTTTCAGTGTGAATCTATCCTAATTAGAAGGAGGGAAGCCTAAGATCAGGCAAGCCTAAGTAGTCTATAGTCCAATGTCTTGGTTTAATTCGCAATGCTAGAATGATCCAGAGTCTCATGACTCAGGGAATTAGTAGTTATTGGTTCCCAGTATAAGGTGACTAAAAATGAACTGGAAGTTGTATAAGCAAAATATAGTTTGATGGTTGCCTGATTAGAATACTAGAAGGTCCTACTCAAGTCGTTTCTGAGGTAAAAAGGTTTTTTATGACCTAGCCATAATTCTTCTTGCTTGATCTAGACATGAATTAATTCAATTAAGATGAATTCTGATTTAAATTTTACAGCATTACAAGAGGCTTGTAAAGAAAAAAGTGGACTCTATGCTCAACTTTCAAAATTTCTTCCCGTGCGGTTAATGTCCTACATGATGTTACCATACACTTTGCCAGTTGAATCCGCCTACTTTGTGGCCTTAAGGTGGGTGTGCATGATCTGCTTCCCAAGCGTTCAAAGCTTTTCATAAAACTTCACATCCGTGTTATTCTTCCAAAAACTCCTCAGGAAAAGACTTATTCGTTCTGAAGTCGCTTTTCTTAGAAACGTCCAAATACCTTGCAGGCTAGACCTGCAGATATTTATCTACTTGCTAGATTTTTATCCCCCCTTTATTTTGTGTAAGTCAATCTGTGTACGTAATGCTCTGTCCTCCTGTTTTTGTCAGGGTGGGATGGATGATAAACCTGGTTTCATGTTTAAGAGAAGACTAGAAATCATAGTCTTCATGTTTCTAGTCCAGCATCTTAACCACTATACCAAAATGGCTCTCCGTATTGCTGAGCTGGAGGAAAATTGCTCATTGTGTGTGGTGTAAGGCTGTGTATATATCTACTTAGGAATAAGCCCATTGAATTCACAGGACTTAGGTTAGGAAAACTGATCGTCATCTTGGGAATTCATGGCTGATATTAGATTGACCTGTTTGGTTTGCATCACACTCCCTTAACTCCTGTTTATACTTATAAAATGTATTGTGTTGATACAGCTTATACTGAACAGGAGAATCATAGGTTTGTTTATTTTCCTGAGGTTTTTGTGTGTATTCAGCTTCATAAACGAGTGTGTTAAGTGTGTGTGTGTTTAAAAACATCAAAACCTACGTTTTAATCACAGCATTAGTATCTACTGTATCTTGGTTCATTTCTAACTGAAAAGCCTTGCACCCGGCTTCATATGAAAATCTTGTCCTTTTATTATTATGAACTTTTAAACAGAATTAAAAAAAAACAACAGAACAAATATTCTTTTCCCCTATAAAACCTCAGCTGATATCAGGAAGGGTGGTAGTGGGTGAATTTTCTTTTTTTTTTTTAAAAAAAAACAGGTTTGGTTTTGAAGCATCAGCTTCTTTCTCATCGTTGCAGATTAGTCCAGTGGTTTCCTGACATCCCTGAGGATGTGCGATGGCTGCAGGGGCAGCTTTACCAAGTTATGGGTGCGGTCTGTTGCAGAGCAAGAAAGGGGCTCCTGAAGGCCCCTAGGTATGTCTTGCCCCATTTTTGGCCTGGCACAGAGAGAATATTTCCCAGAACATAATAGGGTTTGACAATCTTGGGAAATGCTATAAATCTTTGTCCTCTCTAGCAAGGGGTCTGCAGAGGGTGGGGGGGGGGGGGAGAAGAAATCAAGATGGTGGCTGA